ATGGCTTCCTAGTATAGTTAGGATACCACCTGAGTTCCTTGTGGTAGGTTGTGCAGACTCCCCCAGCCTCATTTCCCACCTCCTATGCCTGCTAAGTTAGTAAGCCACAGCCACACTAGGTCTCTATGGATTCTTTAACAACACGGTTCCCCTGTCCTGCCTCCAGGCATCCACGATGCTGCTCCCTCCCCTAGAAAGCTATTCTTTCCCCACCTCTTTTCCAAGCGAAGGTATCTTTTCTTAAGGTGTCCATTCCTGACATTTCTACCACCAGGCTAGATCCTCACAGCATCCACTTCCTCCAGCCCTTATCACTGCTGAAATTGCATCATCATTTATCTACTTTTTTTCCCACACCAGCTATAAACCTTCATCGAGGCAGGGGCTAGAGATAACCACTAAGTTTCAGTATCTGATAAAGACCTAAACTGCTCGGTAAGAACATGTGTGTTACTGAATTATCAAGGTAGGTAGGAGGTGGTGGAGATTGAGCATCTCACCTCTTTCTCCACTGGAACTCCATGCTCCAGTGGGTCCCTTAAGTTTCCAAGCCCTTCATGCCATTCTCTTTCCTCTCTCCTGTGTCTAGAGAGTCTTCCTGGGAAGTTCATGAGCAGCCAGAACAATTGAAAGGTGGATCACAAAAAGGCCTAGGCACAGGTGGGTAGGAAGGAAGGGGACCCCCTAGGATGTCATTTTGCAAAAGCAGCAAGAGTATTAGGCTTTGACCTAGAACCAGAAATACCATTTGATCCAGCAATCCCATTGCTGAGTATACCCAAAAGGAATATAAACCATCCTACTATAAAGACACGTGCACACGTGTGTTTACTGCAGCACTACTTACAACAGCAAAGACTTGGAACCAACCCAAATGCCCATCAGTGATAGACTGGATAAAGAAAATGTGGCAAGTATACACCATGGAATACTATGCATCCATAAAAAAGAATGAGTTTATATCCTTTGTAGGATGAAGCTGGAAGCCATCATTCTCAGCAAACACAAGAACAGAAAACCAAACACCGCATATTCTCACTCATAAGTGGGAGCTGAACAATGAGAACATATGGACATAGTGAGGGGAACAGCACACACTGAGGCCTGTCGGGGGTGGGGGGCTCGGGGAGGGATAGCATTAGGACAAACACCTAATGCATGCAGGGCTTAAAACCTAGATGACAGGTTGACAGGTGCAGTAAACCACCATGGCACAAGTATACCTATATAACACACCTGCAGGTTCTGCACAAGTATCCCAGAACTTAAAGTAAAACAAGTTTTTTTTTTTTTTTTTTTTTTTTTTTTTTTTTTTTTAAAGACAATTAGCTTCTGATACTTTGCCTCTGCCCCGCAATCTTCTGGGCTCCATTTATCCAGCACCCAAGCTGATGACCCCAGGCCTGCAGAATTGAAACCTTCCACTGGGTGGCACCAGGTCACCACCACCTGTGCCCATCCCCCCAGGTCTCCCAGGGTCAAGTGAAGGAACGGGACAGGCACCCTCAGGAACTGTGGGGCACCCACTATCAGTCCTCCCCACGACACAGCACGGTGGGGACACGCTACTAGTGTCCGTGGAAACTGGGCCTGCCCTCCCCCTCCCCCCAACATTCTAATCTTCCTGATCAGTTTGCTCAAGGAGGGGCAGCTACACAGGGGGTGGAAAGAGATCTCAATGGGGCTTTGAGATCTGGGGCTTTCCAGTCTAGGTTTCATCACAGTAACCCTGAACATGCCACTTTATCCACTCCACTCCCCGCAACTCAAGTGGGCACTGGTTCCTTTGCTCATTCATTCATTCATTCATTCATTGATGTTTAAGTGTAGTTATTACGAGTGGTAACTGACAGCCCGGGACGGTGAATCAACTCGTCTGCATGCTGGAGTGTGGTCTATACCTGGGGAACCCTTTATGGGTAGTGCTCTCTGTAAACACCACATCTCCTTAACCTCTTTCTATGTTTAACTCTTGGCACCTTTTTGTTTGGATAACCAGCCTGCAGGTTCACAAACCAGGACAACAAGTAGTAGCTAGCTGGGCATGGTGTCCTGTGCCTGCAGTCCCAGCTACTCTGGAGGCTGAGGCGGGAGGACTGCTTGAGCCCAGGAGTTCCAAGCTGAGGCCACAGTGAGCTATGATCGCCTCTGTGAATAGCCCGTGCATTCCAGCATGAACAGCACAGGGAGAACCTGTTTCCTAAAGTTTTTTTTTTACTGAAAAAAAGTAGTAGCTTCTTATATCTAAATGTTACCCTTTCACAGCCTAAAAGACTAACATTCTACCTCCCAGTCCTGGGACTGGTGAACAGTGCACATTCACCCTCTCCATGTAAGTGCATTCTTTATTTTTGTTACCTTGATGACACCTCAGCTCCCAAGGTCACCCTCAAAAAACAGTGTGACTCAATCTGCTGTCTTTAGGCAGCCCCGGGCCCGAGTCTCCAGGGCTCTCCTCTTCTGAATTCCCCATATCGGTACGTACTTTGTAGCTTTTATTTATTTATTTTTAATAAAAAATTGTATCTGTCTTCTACACAAGCAAAATGTGTTCATTTTAGGAAATGTTAAAAATAGCAAGAGAAGCGTAAAGAAAACAGAATTACCCATGATCTTAGACCAAAGTTTCTCAACTTTGGCACAATTCATGTTTTCAAGATGAGCAATTCTTTGCTGTGGTGTCCAGCACACTGGGGGAGACTTGGCATCAACCCTGGTGTCTACCCACTTGTTGCCAGTACCACCCCCGCCCCAGGTGTGACAATCCAAGTGTCTCCAGACATTGTCAAATGTCCCCTGATCAATAGCCATGGTCTCAGGTGCAGACAGAGCTGCCATCGATTCTCCAGTTTATTTTTCTTCTAGTCCTTTTTCCTCACATAAGTATAGATTTCCTTCTCCCAAATAAGATTGACTATGTACGCAATGCGTGTCCTACTTTTACTACTCTATATTATGTTGTGAGTACTTCCCCAAATCATTACATTCTCTTTAGAAGCATGCTTCCCAATGGCTGCATAGCATCACTGGCTAACCTCCAGCACCATAATCCCATTGACCCATCCCCTGTTGCGGGACAGTTAGGCTGGGTCCAGTGTTAAGGTGCTGTAAATAATGCTTGAATGAACAGCTTGCACATAAATCAGAACCTCTCAAGATACCCCAAGAACAGACACTGGAGGAGAAACCCCTGTGTCGATGGCTTACAATGCACACTGTTAAGTCAGCTTCTGAGATATCTGATTAGACCAGTGTCCATCCTTTAAAATGGATGCGTAACAACTTCATAGTATTTCAGGGGTGATTATGGTCTATTAGGGATGAAAGTGATTCTTCCTCAAATTTTGAGGGTGAGGGGCTATTTCTAATATTCTTCCTGATGATGCTGAGGACAGCACCAGATTTCTGTCACTGTTTCTGAACCACATCAGAATAAAGGCTGATGTCTTCAGAAAGACTCTCAAGTAAGGAGACAAGTAAGTTTCACTTCAAACAGGTTGACAGAATCTGTATTGAGAAGGCAAGCTGGGAGCTTAGCAGCAAATACACAAAGCCAGGTTGATTCATGACGGGTGATGTGAGCAGTGGAGAGAAGGGGACTGACAAGCCAGCTGTGTGCTACTGACTGCCAGTCCACTGCTCAGGAGTGGTCTCACACCTACAGTGTCAGCATCACCTCAGGGCTGGCCAGGATCCCAGAACCTCAAGCCCCACCTTGGACCTCCTGGATCAGAATCTGCATTTCAACAAGAGGACCAGCTCACTCTGAGTCCATCAAAACTTAATACGTTCTGACCTACATGGAGGTTCAAATTCTTTTCCAGAGTTCACTGAATTGGAGCCCAGCATTCAGCCCTCCTAAGAGAAGAACCTAATAATGTTCCCCCAAATTAACACTCTTGTCCATGTTAGAACTGAGTGTCACATTTCAGCTGATTATACTAAATAGCCCACGGGACCCCAGATGTTGCCAAATGTCCCCTGATTAAGAACCACGGTCTCAGATGCAGACAGAACCACCATCCATACTCCAGTTTATTTTTCTTCCAGCCATTCTTCCTTATGGTAAGTATAGATTTCCTTCTTTCAGTGACTGGTACCTAGATTCCACTACATACGCAGCTGCTGTCATCGTCATCATCAATATCAGCATCAGGATCATCATCAGTGATCATGATTGTCATCATTTTCATTATCGCCCCCAGGGTTCTGGCATTTTAATGCCTGGAAGACGTTGCTAGAGTTTGGAAGCTTCATTAAGAACACCTTGATAATTCATGGGTAGACTAAATAAGGCGAGTCCTCAGTTTTTTAGGCACAACTTAATGTAACTAGAAGAGCCGTAAGAGTTGGCATCAAGGTCCAGGCTGACCAGTGAGTAATCTTGTGAGCTTGTGCAGGTCATATAACCGGTTGGACCCTGGTGACGTCACGCGTAGCATGGGAATGTTACTGACGCCTAACTCACACGTTTGCATAAGCATCAAGTGGGATGGAGATTGAGAAAGCAGTTTGGAAATCCTAAAACATATCCCCATTTCCCTCCATCTCATAGCTGTCTCTATGCTAGTTTATCAAATGAGATGATCAAATTTTACTAAATTCCATTCTGGGTAGTCCGGGTGTGGGAGGGGTAGGGTAGAGACAAGGAAAATGGTCTGGCACATCCATACTCTTAAAGGAATGGGAAACATAGGCTGCATGTATCGGGAATCCAGACCACAGAATGGAACTCTCTGTCCCAATGGTTTCAACCCCATCACCATCAGCCCCTCCTCCAAACCACCCTCAACTTCTAGAAAACCAACAAACCACAACCATCCAACCCTCTCTCCATCAGGGAACACTGAAATAACCCAGATAAAGCAACCACTTTCTACCTGAGGGAGCAGAACTGGGCTGCAGCCACCTGGACTCCCATGATGGACTTGTCTTAAATGAAGCCTTCCTGGGCCTGCAAAGGCAGCGACCTCTATACCTCCCTTAACAGGACCCCTTACCTGGGAATCACCGGTGGATTTTCGGACACTCATGTGGGCAGTCTCTGCAGGGTGCGCTGGGGTCCCTGACGCGTGGTATCCATTCACTGCAGGGACAGAGACACGGCTCAGATGCTGTGTGGGCCATAGACGGGCACCCCCGCCTTTCGTCCACTGCAGCCCCTTTTCCCACCTCTGAGAGGTCTTGCGTGGCAAAGACCATCCCTCAGGACTTATCTGTATCTGCAGAGCTGGAAATGGGTTGAAAACATCTCTCTAATCCTCAGCACCCAAATCACCAAATTCTCAGGGGACTGAGTTTCTTCTTTAACCCGACTGAAAAAGGAATGTGCCTAACAGGAGGTGAGCTTGAGATGGTCCAGCTGCCATTGCTACAAATACATCAGATGTAGTTACAGATGCCAATCGCAGCCCCCAGAGCTGGGGCAGGGGGTCCTCCACCACCTTCCTACAATTTCCCTCATCTTTCTTAGTAACTTCTCCACCCTCAAACTCAGAGCAGCAGGATGTGAGCAGACTGGAAAGAGGACTGGATCAATTGGTCACCATGAAATTAGGCTCTGTCAATTAACAGCCAAGGTGGGCATATTGCACTTCATTCTTGAGTCACCATTCTCCTAGAATTAAAAATACATAATCTGGCTGGGTGCAGCAGCTCACGCCTGTAATCCCAGCACTTTGGGAGGCTGAGGCAGGCGGATCACCTGAGGTCAGGAGTTGAGACCAGCCTGGCCAAAATGGTGAAGCCCCCTCTCTACTAAAAATACAAAAAAATTAGCAGGGCATGGTGGCAGGTACCTGTAATCCCAGCTACTCAGGAGGCTGAGGCAGGAGAATTGCTTGAACCCAGGAGGTGGAGGTTGCAGTGAGCTGAGATCACACCACTGCACTCCAGCCTGGGAAACAAGAGTGAAACTCCGTCTCAAAAAACAAACAAACAAAACTCATAATCTGAAGTTCTACAATTCTACCCTTAAAACTTTATGTCTCTTGGGGGGCACTCATCTATGCTCCCAACGCGTTCTGATAAACCTGCTCTCCAAGGGACAGGGGAAGCCCTGATATGCAGTATCTGCTAATTTATGTTCCAAAACCACTCCTACTATGGACGGTTTCAAGCCTCAACACTGCTGCATGCTCCCGACATCGTGAATTCCCACTGGAACCCATGTAGTGTCGGCTCCCAGGTGGTACCGCTCTCATAGGAATATAACTACATAAGCTTACAGGAGCAGTTTCTCCTCAGTGACACTTAGCTTACACACCTGTACAATGGGGATAATTCTAGGTAGTCTCCTGACCTCCTTTGCTGGTGTGAGAATCCAACTAAGTGATAATTGCAAAAGTTATCAGTACTCATAAAGCACTTTGTTTAAAACAAGGAAGGATGAAAGGTGGGGCGCGGTAGCCCGGCCCTGTAATCCTAGTACTTTCTGAGACCAAGGCAGGAGGATCGCTTGAGTCCAGGAGTTCCAGACCAGCCTGGGCAACATAGTGAGACCCCATCTCTATTTTTAAAAACAGAAAAAAATTTAAAAGGGTGGGATGGCCGGATGCAGTGGCTCACACCTGTCATCCCAGCACTTTGGGAGGCAGAGGGAGGATTGCTTGAGCCCAGGAGTTTAAGATCAGCCTGGACAACACAGTGAGACCTTGTCTCTACAAAATAATTTTTTTTTTTAATTAGCTGGGTATGGTGGCTCATGTCTGTAGTTCTAGTAACTCCGGAGGCTGAGGCGGGAGGACAGCCTGGGCCTGGGAGGGAGAGGCTGCATTGAACCATGATTACACTGCTGCACTCCAGCCCACACTTCAGAGTGTGACACCCTGTCTCAAAAAGTGGGGGAGGGGAGGCATGCAGAAGGGGAAGGTCATTGCTTTTGTTACTGAACTGAGTCCCCAGGAACCACAAGCCTGCGTGATCTCCAGAGATCAGGACAACACACCGTCCCCGTGACCCAGGCTTCAAGTTTAGTGTGCAGGTCATACTGGAGGAAGAAGATCTATGTCCAACTCATGGTTCTTTTGGAGAAAACGCTATAGTGTGGCAGGAAGCACAGGAGAATATGGCTGAAAATTACCAACACCTACTAATTTGGGGTGGCAAGGGCTGGAGGTAAGTGTTGGGAAATGGGGTGATGAAGGCCATTCCACGGAGAACCCTTCTCATGCTGGGGCAGTACACCATTTCCACCGCTTGCAGTGAAAACTCCAGCGCCAGGCAGGGCCACACACAGCCACGTGCCTGTGAGCCGCTGGGCTTCTTCCCGATCTACAGGGTTTGCCCTCCCATTCTGGAAGAAGGTAGCTGCACACATATCAAGGAAATAGAAAACTGATACACAGCAGGCCCCGAGCGCAGTGGAAGCTTGGAGAAGCAAGAAACAGATCCATCCTGCAGGCCAGCTACAAGCCTGGGCCACACCCATGCCCCTTAGGCAGTTGGCCAAGTGCAGATAACATCCACCTGCTAGGAAGGCAGCTTAAGAGACAGAGACCACAATTCCAACAGCATCAGAGAGAATGCTGAGGGCGCCAAGGAGAATTCACTTTGACCGTCATAAAGCTATGCCAGGAAAGACATGAGCCGGATGATAAATACACCCCACAATGAGGGCAAGATAGTTGAGACATTTTCTTTATCAAATAGCATAGAACTAAAGTGGGTAAAACACAAATACTGAAAAACCTAAAAACAACAGCAGAAAACCTAGGACATTGCTTTCAGTTTAGGACTGATTAACAGGCAAAAGCAAGGAGGATAAAGAAGACCTGAATAATTTAATTTAAAAGGCTAATTGAAATAGATGTAGACAACATCGTATCCCACAAACAAAGATAACTTCTTCTGCCAGGAAGCCCTGGGACACTGCGACACTGAAAAAGTTGGCCATATTTAAGCCACAAATAAACTGAATAAATGGCAAGAAGCATAAAAAACACAGGCCACATTCTTTGACCAGGAAAGCAATAAAAGTAGATATTAATAATGAAAGAATAAATATACAAGATCCCCATCCCCAACTCCTAAACACTTGGAAATGCAAGAAACTGCCCTCTTAAATAATGCCAGATCAAGACGGAATGTCAAATTGTAATTACACAATATTTAGAAAATAATAAAGAAAGAGATACCAAAACAAGTGGGATAAGGTCTGAATTATACTTGGAGGAAAATCCACAGCCTTAATTATTTCATTACCAAATGCAAAGGAACAAAAATAAATGGACTAAACATTCAACTTAAGATTTTGGGGAAAAAATTCAAAGGCTAATAAAACACGCCAAAAGAAAACAGGATAAAGGAATAGGAAAGTGGCAACGGAAATTAATGAGTCAGGAAACAGGATGCCATTAGCAAACCATTGCTGATTGTGTGTGTGTGTGTGTGTGTGTGTGTGCCTGTGTGTGTGTGATAACAATAAAAAAATGCAGATAAGCCAGGGTAATTTGAGGGGGAAAGAGAACACAAATGCTCAGAATTAGGGACCACAAAGAAAACAGCAAAACAAATAGAGTAGAAACTTTTTTTTTTTTTGGGTGAGATGGAGTCTTGCTTCATTGCCCAGGCTGGAGTGCAGTGGTGTGATCTCGGCTCACTGCAATCTCCACCTCCCAGGTTCAAGCGATTCTCCTGCCTCAGCCTCCCACGTAGCCGGGATTACAGGCACCCACCACCATGCCCAGCTAATTTTTGCATTTTTAGTAGAGACAGGGTTTCACCATGTTGACCAAGCTGGTCTTGAACTCCTGACCTCAAGTGATTCGCCAGCCTCAGCCTCCCAAAGTTCTGGGATTACAGGTGTGATCCACCGCACCCAGCCTACAGTAGAAATGTTTTAATGCAAGAATGTATGATTTATAATTCTACCTCTTAAACACCAAACCTCCCATAAGATTCAAATTATCAAAGGAGTTTCAAGAGATGCCATTTCATTTGAAAATGACCTCCCCCAAAAAGGCACTGGACTCAGATGGTTTTATGGGCAAATTCATTCACACACTCAAGAAAGAAATACCCTTGCATAGAAATGTGTGGCAGGCTTAGATCTATTTTACAAAGCCAGCATGACCCTGATCTTAAAATCAAACACACACACAAATGAACCATGTTTAATCTGCTGACAAGAAAATACAAGTTTTTATCTGAGTAGGTAATAAATCTCTATCTTTGATGGTTAAGTCCCCGTGAACCAAGGTTGTCCCAGCTCCTGGGGAAGACCCTGACTCCCTCCCTCCCCAGACCCTCCAAATGCATGCTCAGTTTCCGCACCCTCCCCTTTCCCCACACGCTCAACCACCAGGAACCGTCTAAAGTGGAGACATTTTGCCCCAATCCAATCCCTTGTTCTCACTTCAGTTCTGGTCTGTCAGCTGATAGCTAATTACTGCTCATGTCAAAACAATTACTATGAAAGAAAACATAATTTTCCATTTGACCCTTTCTCCCCATGCTGCAGCTCTCCTCAGACACCCTGTCTGGCTGCGTGTCACTTGAAGACTCCCGGGCACATTCAGAACACGTCTCAGTGGAGATCTAGACAGATACAGCCCGCAAGTTCCCGGCAACCTCACCCATGAGCTTTCTTCATTGGTGTTCCCTGTCCTCAGGGTTCCCGGCTCACCCAGGATCAGCCACAAAACAAATGAGGCCAGAAGTGGGTGCTTCTGGGGCCTCCAGCCTCCGGGGGAGGAAAAATAAACCTGGTCAAGGATCACTCATAAAGGGAACATAATTCAGTCTGGAGATACAAGAAAGAAAAAAGGCAAATGCCAAACTCAGCTGTTTTTCAGATTTTTAAAAGGGGAACTAAATGCTCTATCTAGTAACCTTAGCAGCCTCAAATATAAATAATACACACAGGCAACCACGTACTTCATTTCCCTTATGGGCAGTTAAGCAGCTTGATAGGGCTTAGGAGGTGTCTAGTGAGAGGAGGGGACAGATATTTGGGTAGAAAAGAGGAGAGGGAGGTCTGGGTAGGGAGAAGTAAATGGAAACTGAGAAGAAAGGAGAATATGAGATGTTATTGAGAAAGGCCAAGCAACAAAGAAGAGCCTGCAGCTCTGCCACCCAGGGCTCACC